CCCTTCTAAACCCAGCCTGGACTTGCAGCAGTTCTCTGCTGATGTGCTGTTCTAATTATTTTTGGATAATCTTCAGTAGAATCTTGCTTGCATGTGAAATCAGTGAGATTGTTCTATAGTTTCGACACTCTGTTGGTTCACGCTTCTTTGGGATGGGAACAAATATAAATCTCTTCCAGTCAGTTGACCAAGTGGTTGTTCTCCAGATTTCTTGGCACAACTTGGTAAGCACGTCCAGGGCAGAATCCGTTAGCTGAAATATGTCAATTGGTATATCATCTATTCCTGGGGCCTTAGTTTTTTGCTATTTCCGTTAAAGCAGCCTGAACTTCTTCCTTCATCATCATTTCATTAAATTCTTCTGTGTCTGCCAATTCCTTTTCATACAGTGACTCAGTATATTCTTTCCATCTTCTTTTAGTACTTCCTGAATCATTTCATATTCTACCTAAGGCATCCTTGATTATAGCAACTCAAGGTTTGAATTTGTTCTTCAGTTCTTTGAGCTTAAGAAATGCTGAATGAGTTTGACCCTTTGATTTTCCGACTCCAGCTCCTTGCACATTTCATTATAATATTTTGCTTTGTCATCCCATGCTACCTTTTGCAATCTTTTGTTCAGCTCTTCAGTATTGTTATATCCTCTTGTTCTGTTGACCCTTTGAGCATTATGTAGTGACCTTCTTTGTCCTTTGTGATGGTTTTTGCTTTGAAATTTATTTTATCAGAGATTAGTATCGCCTATAGCAGGGTTTTAGAGGCAGTAAATCACACAGGAGGAGATTGTCCATCTTTCTCCCATGCAGCAGGTCGTGAATTCAAAACAAGTGCCTTCAGGATGGTAGTGCAGCTCCTTACCATTAGGCCTCAAGAGCTCACTCCCAAATACTTCGGCATCAATTAGACTACTAGGACATTTGATCATATTAAGCATTTTAAAGCTTTTCTATGTGATAATGCTATTGTGGCTGTGTTAAAGACAGAGTCTTTTGAGCTTAGGAACTCATACTCAAATATCTTTTGGGGGATGGCATTCTTTCTGGTGTATCAGTTTTCTATTGCCAACTAACAAATTATTTGACATTTGATTGTGTGGATTATAGAAAATTATCACTAATATTGAGAAGAATGTGCATCCCAGAACACTTAGTTGTGCTCATGCAAAATCTACACCTAGACCAAGAAATTGTCTAGAGCAAGAGAATACTGCATAGTTTAAAGTCAAGAAAGATGCGTGTCATCACTGTATTCTTTCTCCATATCTGTTTGATTTGTATGCTGAGCAAGTCTGAGGCAATACACCATAGCAAGTGGCAAATTCATAAAATATTTTAATAGAGTCATTCTCAGAAATTTAACACATTTTTAATTATAACATAAGATTTTTCTACATGAAAATAAATTTAGCAAAAATTCTCTAATACTTAGCAAGCAGTGATTATGAGGCAAAAAAAAAATTTCCACTAAAATAGATTAAATTGTTCTGGTTTTGGCATGAGTTCTTGGATGTTCTGTAATGGAAGTAAAAAATGCAGGTTTTCTGACATTAATGATATAATACTAAAATTCTCTAATACTGAGGCAGGTGTGCACTCCTAACATTCATGGACTACTAACTGGTATGAATTCTGTAATGTTCAATGAGTTGTGATCCAAGAATAAAGGCCTGTCCACACTCTCTACATTCATATGGTTTGATGCCAGGATGAATTCTTTGATGTTCAGTAAGCTGTGAACTTCGGATGAAGGCCATTCCACATTCTCGACACTCATAGGGTTTCTCATAGCTGTGAATTCGCCGATGATGAGTCAGTTGGGAAACACGAATAAAGGCTTTTCCACATTCCTTACATTCATAAGGTCTGTCACCTGTGTGAATTCTTTGATGTTGAGTGAGGTAGGAACTACGACTAAAGGCTTTTCCACACTCCTTACATTCATAGGGTCTATCACCAGTATGAACCCTCTGATGTCGGGTAAGCTGTGCGTGCTGTCTGAAGGCCTTCCCACATTCCTTACATTCATAGGGTTTCTCCCCAGAATGAATTCTTTGATGTCGAGTAACTTCTGAGCTATGAATAAAGCCCTTCCCACATTCCTTACATTCATAGGGTTTCACCCCAGTGTGAATTCTGTAATGTACAGTAAGTTGTGAATGTTGCCTAAAGGCTTTCCCACATTCTTTACACTGATAGGGTCGAGCACCTGTGTGAATTCTCCTATGTACAGTAAGTTGAGAGCCACGAATAAAGGCCTTTCCACAGTCTTTACATACATAGGGTTTCTCCCCTGTATGAGTTCTTTGATGCAAATGAAGTTGTGAGTGCTGCCAAAAGGTCTTTCCACATTCTTTACACTCATATGGTTTAATTCCAGTATGCAGTCTCTGATGTAGAAGAAGTTCAGTAGTACGAGCAAAAGCCTTCCCACACTCTTTATAATCAAAAGGTTTCTCACACGTATGAATTCTTTGATTCTGTACCAGGTGGGAGACTCGGCAAAAGGCTTTCCCACATGCCTTACATTTGAAAGGGTTTTTCCCAGAATGAGTACTGTCTTGCTGAGTAACATGTGTGTTATTACTAAATACTTTCCCACATTCCTTACATTCAATTGGCTTCTCACCAGTCTCATGTTCACAATGAAGAATTAAAGATGGATGACTATCAAAAGTGCTCATGTTTTCAAAGGTGATTTTTACTTGCTCGAGAAAGCAGTCTTGGTTTACAGGCTGTCTCTCAAACTGGCCTCTGCAATCCCAGGCTTCCCTAAAACTAGACCCCTCAGGATCACAACACTTAGGTCTTTCCATGATCACCCAGATGAATGGCTGCACTTCATGAACATCTTTTTGTGCTAACTTCTCACATCTGGATTCCAAGTCTGAAAAATAAAGAGAAAATAAACATAAACCATCTCTTGAGAAAACAAAAACTTGGCAACAGAATAGAGAGACAAAATGAAAATTTACAGTAGGTAAAAGAACCATGACTAGTGAATGGATGGGTAACTCTCAAACACTGCTGGGAAATATTTTAAAAGCTCATGAAAGCACATCGATTATAACAGATCAAGTTAAAACATGGGTTCTAACTTTGATATGGATCAGAATCACCTAGGAAATCTGTTAATACAGCAAATGTTCATGCATCAGTCAAACTGTAGAAAAATCCCTGGGAGTGGGACCAAGGCATTACTCTATCATAGAAACAAACAAAGACTGGGATAAAATTAATAGAACAAAATTATATGAATAATCATGTTGTTAATTACACCCATTCACTGCTGTTGAGTCAGAACTGATCTCCCACTGGGTTTCTGGGCTGTAAATGGCATGAGAGGAGCCTGTCTGTGTTTCTCCTTTGGAGCAGCTAGGCGATTTGAATCACCAGAGAAGCCCTATCTTTTGGTTAGCAGTACAGCTCCCTATGGGCTATGGCACCAGAGTTGTCTAATTATGCCACAGAGCATATAATATAAAATTACACATTTTAAAGTATCAGGCTCTTTGATAGATGAGTAGCAGTCTCTTCCAGTACATTTACAATGTTTTGCAACCATAGGACTGTGTAGGACCAGAATATATCGATCACCAATAGAAAGCCCATTCCCTTTAAGTAGTCACTCCCATTCCCCACCTCCTCCAAGCCACTGGAACCCACTGACACATCTCTATAAATGTGTGTATTCTGGATAATCCATATAAATAATGCACTTATAAATTTTAACTTATCCCTGGGGTGAAAAGTTGCTGCTGCCCACCAAAATGAAAATCCTGCTCGAACTTTTTTGTTGCTATCCAACTGCCCTTAGAATAAGTTCCAAACGATTGCCATGGCTTATGAGACTCTGCAAAGCTTCCTGCTTGTCTTTGTTGCCACTGCCTCAACTAAGAACACCATGTTTATCTTGAACATGCTCCTCTTTCTTCTCTATGTACGAAATCACAGGCTTCATTTGAGCACCAAAGATCAACCTAAAGCCTTTTCCTTTTTAGAACTCTAATCAGGCTCTTTCATCCAGTAGGAACCTACTGAAATCCTTAGTGTCAATGCTCTTTTCATCCTTCAGGCCTCAGGCTTTCAGCTCTTCTTCTCTAAGCACCCTCTGGGCAGGCTTCATGTTGCGCCCCCATTATTAATATCTGTTTCAAAAACATGTCACCACCATTAACATAAACCCAATAGCCTCCTCACCAAAAAAATCACTCCTCTTTCTCTTCTCTCTCCTATTGCTGGTAACTATTAATGAGTTTTGATTTCTATATATTTGCTTATTTCATATATATAAGCAAGTTCATAAAGCATTAATTCTTTAGTGTCTGAGTTATTTTTTTCAACATGATTTTTTCCATTTGTGGTACGCATCAGAACATAAAGGAATATTACACATTATTTCTTTTTTGCAGTGTAAACATTCCATTGTGCTTGTGTATACACACAAACACCTGGTGGCACAGTCCACAGGGACATGTGCTGTTAATCCAAAGGCAGTTCAAAATCCATAAGAAGTGGCTGTGGGGGGAAAAAAATCTCCTTTGCAACTTATAGCCTCAGAAACCCAATGGAAGGTCTTCAGTGAATTGATTCTAACTTGATGCAGTAAGTGTGTGCACACATTTATATAAATACAGATAAACACACACATATATATGTATGCTGTTGTTGTGCACCATCAAGTTGGAACAGACCCAGAGCTAACCCTTCACTGGGTTTTCAAAGGCAGATTATCACACAGGAGGAAACTGTCCATCCTTCTCCCATAGAGCAGCTGGTGGATCTGAATTGCGTATTTTTCTGTCATTGGAGCTATTCCTTATGACTAGGCCACCAGAGTGTGTGTGTGTGTGTGTGTGTGTGTGTGTATACACACACACAGAG